GGGGGGCTTTGGCGTGTGTATGTGAATGCGTGTAAGCGCGCATGGGTTTGTCTGTGCGCACGCACAGGTATGCCAGCATCTCTTTTACACAGCAGCTAACGAGGTGGCGCTAATGTCTGCGGTGGCAGTGGAGGAATGCGGGGATAGGCCTGTGGAGTTTAAGGAGGAGGGCTATAGTTTTACTGTACTCGCAGACAGCGTGCTCCTAGATGAGGAAGCACGACAACAACACTGTGCTCCTGAAGCATTAAACGCCCACTTTAATAACCACTTTGAAAGAACTGCTGACTCCAAACCTTCCAAGAGAAGCATGTTGCTGTACACACTGTACCTGATCAGCTGCTTACTCATAGCGTTAACATCCTTTAGATAGAGAGTTGATGTTGCAACTGAGGGAACTGAGTTTGTTTTCTCATTATAACTCACCTGCAGTTGCTTCAATATGTCCAATGTGATTCACCATTCGTGAGTCTTGAGTAATTTCGATTTAAGACTTGCCATCAAAACAATTTGGGAAGCCAAATGTGGTCCGATGTGCAAGTGGAAACCTGCGGGCCCCTTAAAATGTTGAAGAATCGCTCGGACAGGTAACCTGCATCTATTCAGTGACTCTTATTGAAGAACTGTCCGTGGTGCTGAAATCAGACTGATTATCTTCCACTTCTTTGGGACGTTAAATCATATTTTAGGTTATTGGATATTAACAGTACCTGGGGAAGATCTTTCAACTGCCGTTTTCGGAAATGTGCCAAACAAACCTTTTTGCGTTCAACCAGTGGAATGTTTTCAGAAAATCACTGTCATTACCATAGCAGATGAAGTGATTCTTCACGGTCCAGACAACTAACCTCCTCGGCTAAACACGATCAGTGTCTGTAGGCTATGAGATGACTGAAGATGATCTCCCTGGCCAGTTTTCAGAGATGCACGGCTGCTGCGGCCTTTGGTCGACTTGAATTCTCCCTATTATTTGCTTTCTGGAGCTTAGTGACTTCTCTCCAAAGCCAATTGGTTTACGCCTGGTCGGTTCGGGGGGCCTCCACAGTGATAGCAGTACATAAAAGATGGATAAACTCTAATGGATGGGATCTATTTGAAGATTCCCCAAAGAGCAAAACATTGGATGTTCTAATAATTGTTTTAAAAAATCAACAGGTGCACAATCCAAGAATATAAAATCCGCTTTCTGTCTGATATGTGATGTTTTCGCAGGTGTTTTTTCTCATTGTTCGAAACTCATTCAGACATTGAGCACACACCGCGGTCTCCCTGCATTGTTCTGCGCTGACTTCTGTTGGACTCTCACTCTTTTCTCGTTGTTAAAGTCTATACTATAGTATGTCAAGTATCCGCATACTGATGCCGAGATCCCCCTCCCCAAAAAACAGATACACAATCCACTGCCCCCTTTGTTGGCCACATTTCATTGACTGCTGGAGGAGAAGAGAGTCACTCATACAAAAAAAGTGAAAGAAGGCAGCCCCGGCAACCATGATGTTGGTTATATTTGTGTAAAGGCTATCAGTGAATGACGAGGATTAGGACGAGTTAAGGAGATTATGTCACACATTCACCATTCACCCAACCCAGCAGCCACCCACACACATGCGCACACACAGACACACACTCACACACATACACCACTTCACGTGCATTTAGAAACAAATGAAAACTGTTATCGATTACTGATTATGTCTTCGTTAAGGAAAGTTATTGGATCGTATTTCTTTTGAAAAGTTAATAATTTAGGAAATGCAAAAATAAGCCAAAAATAAGTCTGGGGGGGAACTTAAAATTAAAAAAATTCTACAGTATGAGTGGCCTATTCAGAGAATAGTTAAAACATACAATTTGCGTCTATAAACGTCCTACAGAGGGCCTTTCTATGAGCCCCCTCAGGAAAATCAAAGGAATATTAGAATGATTTCTCCTCAGGCTTGTTAGGCTCCAGCCGGAGCCGTTCAGCTAAAGGGCAGATTGAAAGACACGACAAAAGCTAATTGCAATTAACTACGCCTCTCCGCCTCGCCCCTGTCCGTTTAAATCGACACTTTGTGAGTCCATATGGCCTTCAGTGTACCGTGGGAATGAACACAATTAAAACAGAATATGGATTTCTGGAGTTACCCGGCGAAAGCGCAACAAGCTGTCAAGGTCAGTGTGTCAATGAGTGGGCCCCGGACAGCCGGCCGTGGTCTGCACCTTCATCTCCAAAACCGGATCACCCACTACAGAGAATGCTGGCAGCTACAGTGGCAG